TGTAAAGTGGATACGCACCAATTTCGATCTCTCGGTCAAATCGCCCCGGTCTTCTAAGGGCAGGATCGATGGCATTCGGCCTGTTAGTTGTCGCGACGACTACGACCTGCTCCTCCTTCCCGTCTTTGCCTATTTCCTCTATGCCATCCATGATAGTTAGCAATTGCGCCACGACGCGCTTTTCTACCTCTCCACCGGGGCCTTCCTCACGCCGGGGACACAGCGCGTCGACCTCATCGAGCACGACGATGCATGGACTCTTCGCCCGGGCTTGGGCGAAGACGTCACGGATCTTGGATTCAGTCTCGCCGTGATAAGCAGAGGAAAGTTCGGGACCATTGATGATGATGACCGAAGAGTTCGTTGAAGCCGCGATTGCACGTGCGAGATGAGTCTTTCCTGTTCCCGGCGGGCCATGCAAGAGGATACCACGAGGCGGTTTGAGACCTGAGTGTACCGAGCAACGTAAGTAGTAGATTGTTTTGTTCACTGGCGAGCACGCTTACCAAAGTGGCGGAAGAGCTCCGGATGTGTTAGAGGAATCTCAATGAGGTCCCGGATTTGGGCAATCTGCTTGTCGACGCCACCTACAGCGCTATAAGCGTTAGCAGGCAAGGTTGATTCTATGCCTCTCATGTCGGCGATCTGAAAGACTTCAATGGGATGCAGCTCCGTGCGACACGAGCATTTGGTTACCTTGTCATCGGGGCCTTTGCTATCGTCGTAAATGGTAACAAAGGTGTCCCATCCCACAGTCCATAACTTGGGCTTTGAGTCAAGGGCCAGCTCGTTAAGGTTAGTGGCTAATTCGTTGAGATCATTTTGTCCGTTATTTATGGCTCTGGAGACAGATTGGACGGCAAAGCGTCGGTTTCGTCCCTCGTAGACAACTTCGACGAGTTGTGAGTGCGTGATGTACTTCAGATCGACTTCGTGTGTGGAAGCATGTTAGCTGTCCGTGATGTGCACCACGATGCTGCCTGTCTCACCAAGTGCTTCCCTGAGAAGGAGCGGGAGCCAGTCGCGTTGTTTGTCCTTGGCCGAACCTGCAGGCTTGATATGGTCTCCGCCCTCGGTAACTTCGTACAGATGGACAGTTCGAGCCTCTTCGCAGCAGTTTAGTGCGGGAAGCCATTGAGGGGCCTTCAGACTGAGAAGAAACAGCTTGACCTTGCTACCCGAGTCCAATCTCGCGGTCTTCAGGAGGGCAGAAGAGACTTGAACGACTACAGCAAGGAGTTCGTGAGATACTCCAGACACAGCGAAGGTTAAAGTTTTCACCCTCAGCTGATCCATCTACGATAGGCCAAGCTATGCCTATACTGAAGTACTGTATATGCTCAGTCTTTCTGAGAGCAAGGAGATTGGAGCCGCTTACTTTCTCGTCACTCTTGTCATCGGACGAAGCTAATGCGAGAACATCGCCTGCGACAATCTTGACAGCTCTTAGGACATCAGCATGCACCAGTATGCGTCTGGAGGCGCGCGAGAATGATTCCTCAGCCTTCACCAGACGAACGGTGAATGTTCGCACGGAGATGGACATGAGGATCTGGGCACCTAGGCAACTAGAGAATTGTTTCGGTCAGAGCGCAACACGCATTATTTATGGCTTGACTATACTTTGATACGAAGTGTAGAAAGCCGCTAATGAGCTTCAAGCTAGATATGCTTGTTTGCGGCCAATATTTGTTTAGCGTCGGGAGTCCGAGACTCGAGTCTCAGAGACTTCAAAAACCATGGGCGCCTATGCTGTTGGTTTACATAGCGTGCCCCAGTGGGAGTTAAATGCAATCACACCGCCCTGGTCATCCCATACTGGTTTTTTCATCCGTCTGATTCATGTGTTACAATTCGTACAGGGAATAAAGAATGTTTCAAGCCGAATCAAAGACAACAGCACAACAAGAGACGAAGAGCGAGCAAGGGACTACAACAATGCAACACAACACGGTCAGCATTCTACCGGGAGATACCGGCAGTCGCTTTTTGGAGGGCACGCTTGATGCCCAGCTGCGCCTTCCTGAG